GGCTATCGTGTTGTTACAACAATGCGACTATAGAGCCCCCAATAGGATTACAAGCACACTACAAGAGGTATGACTACATCCTGGGCTCTGTTTAGAGGCATTTCTATTCAAGAAATTTGCGCGGAAGCCAGCTGGTCTTCTCCGCACACATTTGCTCGATTCTATAGACTGGATGTGACGGAACCCTCTCTGGCCCACTCAGTCCTGGGAGTGAGTAGTCAGGGTGAATAATGCAGGTTATTAAGGGGTGAATTCCTCATATTATTCTGTTTTCACCTCCGTCGGGAGTTATGACTCAGATAATAACCTACTCTTCTTTAGTCTGTTTCGTCAGAATATCGGCAATACGGGAGTTGTCTATATCCCATAGTGAGATACCGAACAAATGTTAGAAAGAGAACGTTAGGTTACTGAGGTATCTCACAAACATTGCCCTCCTTGCCTTTACTGCACGGAGAAGAGATATGCGGAGAATGACAATATGGCAGGTAGCTGCGGTTTATATACAGGGAGGCGGGACTCCCTGATCGCTGCAGCGATTGGTCTGCCATAGTTGGCAGAGGTGGTGTTATTGGTGCTTCCCGCGATCGGTCACGCCTGAGGCGTTCCCATAGTGAGATACCTCACTTCATGTTATCAGAGAACCGGGGTTACATCAGTAATCTAACGGTATTCTGGTCTGTGAGCGTATATGCGTTCAGGGGGCGTGGTTTGGACGGCGACTGCAGGGAGGGTGGGACGTTCGCTTTCTGTGCTATCAGGCTAAAGTTAGCATTTTCCAAGATCTCCTACTGCACCTTTAAGTCGATAAATACAAGTTCACGTAAACTCTTCTCTCCGCTGCAGCTGTCAGTCATCCTCCATTCAGCATTCAAACTGCACGTCGCGTTCGGTGAGACAGTCAAGACGATAAAACTCTCTCCAAGATGTTTCACTGATGATGATGATATGATGATTCATGCTGTTAAAAGAAAAGGCTCAATAAACTATCACACAGATATAATACATTACGCATCAAAATCATCTTCCCTTTGTGCTTTGAACTTTTCTATGCGGAGCGCTGCGCGCTGTGACTTCTTGTTGCTTCAAGCGCATCATTCTGCGCATGGGATGCGCATAAGCACTTTGTGCTGCTCCGTATAGGAGCCTTTAATACTTTTGCGCAATGAAAGATTATTAATAGCCTTTCTTGTTGTCTTATCTATCATATGTTGCTGCCTCATTACTGTGCTATACATTTAAAAGAAATGTCTTTTAATTTAATAGTATATTAATTAGTATATAAATATATTCAGCTACTTGTTTTTCATTAATGTATTTTACAATACAAAGAGCAATGTTTAACATTTTACCAGATTTAGCCCTACACTTATTCACTTTTATTTGTTCCCCACTAATAAATTTTTTCACTAAATATTTAGATTTGATAAAATTATTGCGCACTCATGATTTTTCTAGACTAACTTTCGCTACTGAATTATCCACTAACCTAGTTTATAGTAGTATTTTTATCATAGATTGTGATTATATATTTATATGTTTGTTGTTTTTCTTTACAATGAAGTTGTCTATATGTGGTAGATTGTATTTAACACACAAAAGAGTGATGATCAGGTCAACACAACCTGTATAGTAATTCTACACTGATTAAAAAAAAACTGCGCTGTATCGGATCGGTATTGGTATCGGATCGGTTCTAAAAAAAGTGGTATCGAGCCAGCTCTAGTTTTTTGCGTTTCTACTGCATAGACAAGACAACCAAGCTTTATTAAATGCACATCTTGCCAGTGGTGGATTCCCAGTTTATTTATTTATAACTATACTTTCTTAACCTTCATAGATGTTTTTTAATGCCATTTTTTTTATTAAATTAAAGATGACATTGATTTCTTTAATTGTGGGGCAATGCTATCATGACATTGTTATTTTAGCATTATTTATATTATAGTATTTATTAATCATTTGATTTAGGGTTTTTATTTTTTTGTATTTTCAGTTTTCATTTTAATTTTAGTTTAGGCCTATATAATTTTGTTATTTTACTATTATTTATATACTATAATTGTATTTATTAATATTTTGAATGAGCTTTTATTTTTGTATTTTGAATTTTCTATTTTGTTATTTTTATTAGCTAGTTAATATTTCGATTCAGCTTTAAAGTATTTTTATTTCAGTTTTAGTAATTTTAGTACTTCAACTTGTTTATTTCACTTAGTTGCCAAGGCAACATTTCTACATTTTTAATCTAATATGTATATCTTATTTAATTTCAGCTTTGCTACTTTTCTAGTTTCAGTTAGCAATAATAACACTGGCTTACTTGCATCCCTTTTAAAAGAAGCAGATCCCCTACCCTTTTAATTTGTGTCCAACTTTTTTGTGGCCCAAACATCTGAAGCGCTTTTATTTTTTAAGGGCTGATTTAATGGAGAAGATCAAGGCTTTATTTATTTATTTATTTTTTTGTCCTGGACGGTCTATAAAAAGAGGCTGGCACACGGTGTGTGGCCGAGCGTGCGGTCCATTTGCACATTAAAAAGGACATTCATCACAGAGCGTCAGTGCTGCAAGTCACCAGCCAGCTCTCGCAGGGTTTGGTGCAGGGCTGGGTGGAGCCAGGGCACTGGTGCATGTCCTTGAGTGCGTGTTTGTGTCTGTGTGTGTTTGTGTGTGTGGTATAGGACCCACCTGGTGCAGTATTCGTGACACTCTCTCTCATTTACTCTCCGGGTTGAGGAATAGAGTTAGACACACATATAAACACACACACACCTCTCGTCTTTAGGCGAGGAGGGTTTGTCACCACTCTAAGCCCAGGGCAGCCATTTAATACGAACTCTGTGTGTGTGTGTGTGTGTGTGACGGACGGACTGAGCTTGCACTCGGAGCCAGAGACGTTCGCCTGCTCCAGGACAGACGAGAACTCAGCGTGAGCTTGCGGAAGTGAGCTGCGCCCCGTCCGGGATGAGAGAGGCTCAAGGATGTGCCCTCTATCTCACTCACTTGCGGACTCTCTCTCGCTTAACGGCAAGGGGGACACTTCCTCCTTCGCTCGGCGCACACTAACACTGTCCTGAGAGACTAACATGCAACCCGTGATTAACCTGGAAGAGAGTTAATTTAGGATGAGGTAAGCTTGGGATATCACTGAACTAAATTGAAATCGAGCCCTCTTGAGGCTTGAAGTGTAAATTATCATTTTATTTGGTTAACACTTTTAAGTTTGTAACTTTTTTTTGCAGCATCTTTAGTGAATTTCCACATACTGAAGGACGTTCCGTCCTGCTGGTTCTTGGCTTCACTGTTCCCATCTGTCTTGTGGTCGTAGCCGTTTTCACCGTGAGCCAGCATATTTCAGCTTTCGTGCTTCTAGCTGACATGTTTGGGGGTGTCACAGGCAGTGCCAGTGTAATCAGGTCGATGAGCATCTATGAGCCTTAATCAACATAATGCACAGTGCGGCTGACTCACGGCTGGAGGAGGTGTCAGCACACTGGGCTGTGGCTGCACTGGACGTCCTGTTTCTTGAGTTCGGTTTGGTGGCTCGTTGCCCATCATTTTAATAACAAAACTGCTGTGATTGACACTCAATGCTCTTGCTTGTAAAAGCTTGATGTTTTTGATTTATTAGAATGTGACTCAGCTGAATGAGTTTTGTGCTGTTAGTCATCATTTGGTTTACCGCGTATCAACACCTTGACAACAATAGATATTATAGTGTACATTATATACACTACTGTTCAAAAGTTTGGAGTCTGTAAGATTTTTAATGTTTTTGCAAGAAATCTCTTCTGCTTACCAAGGCTGCATTTATTTTTAATCAGAAATAGTAAAAACAGTAATATTGTGAAATATTATTACAATTTCAAATAAGTGTTTTATATGTTAAAATATAATTTATTCCTGTGATTAAAGCTGAATTTTCAGCATCATTACTCCAGTCATCAGTGTCACATGATCCTTCAGAAATCATTCTAATATGCTGATTTGCTGCTCAAAAAACATTTATTATTATCATCAGTGTTGAATACAGTTGTGCTGCCGAATATTTTCGTGGAAACTGTGATACATTTTATTTTTCAGGATTCTTTAAAGAATTGAAAGTTCAAATGAACAGCATTTATTTGAAATAGATTTTTTTTGTAACATTATAAATGTCTTTACTGTCACTTTTAATCAATCTAATGCATCATTGCTGAATAAAACTATTAATTACTTAAAAAAAAAAAAAATCTTTCCCCAAACTTTTGAATGGTAGTGTATATAAATATATTTGACATTTGAACTGCTCTTTCACTGCATTTAAAGGGGCAGTTCGCCCCAAAATGAAAATTGTCACCAACTCACCATTTAGTTGTTCCAAAACCATGACTTGTTTTTTTTTTTTTGTGGAATACAAAAAGCAGAACATTCTCACTTTTACATCAAATTAAAGCATATCAACCAGAGGTTGCCAGTCTCCAAAAAAGTACGATAAAAGTAGTTCATACTTGCCAATGTCCTATACTGAACATCATACTAAAGTTATTTGTGTGAGGAACAGATTGAAATGTAATCACACAAGATTTTCAATAAATATTGACCGTTCCTCATACAGAGACATGGACGTCAGCACGCACGTCTACTTATAACTACTTTTATGGTACTTTTTCTGCTAAATTTCTCCTTTTGTGTTCAACAGAAGAAAGAAACGTCAAGTCAGATATTGAGTAAATTATGAATTCTGATGCAAAATTAACAAGACAATATTTTATTTTTCTGTAGTATAATGTGCACTGATGAATCGATCACAAAACCAGGAGTATTTGCATTGATTTTCATTTTTGGTGGCTGTTAATTAAAGTGGTGCATAGCCTTTAATGAGAAACCTCATACATTTCTACAACATTTACCCACTGTTCCTTACTGTCTCTCATTCTCTCTCCCAGCATGACCTTTCATTCACCACACTGAAAAGACTGATTTGGGAATGGCTGATTTTGTTTGTTTGTATGCAGCTCAAGCCCATGAGAGAATGATGAGCCCTACTGGGCCCAGTCCCAATCCCAACATTCCATCAGAGTACTGCTCCACCATACCGCCCATGCAGCAGGCCCGCGCCGCCGGCACCCTCAACTCTCCCCCACCCACCGTCATGGTCCCCGTGTCTGTCCTCAAACACCCCGGTGATGATGGTACGCACTGCACTCTGAGCCAGAGTTATAGCTCTTATGGCTATAAAACACTGTGACTTCCATTTAATAGAGTTAGTTCATGAAAGAAAGAGTGACTGCATCCCAAATTGCATGCACTCCATATCATATAGTGTGCTAGACTAGGTTAGCGTCATTATACACTGTTATGCAAAGGTTTGGGGTCTGTATGATTTTTAATTAATATTTTTATCCAGCAAATGAACAAGATTTTTAGATTTTTAGTAATATTTTTATGCAAGGATGCATTAAATTGTTTAAAAGTGACAGTAAAGACATTTACAACTTTACAAAATATTTCTATTTCAAATAAATGCTGTTCTTTTGAACTTTCTATTCATCAAATAATCCTGAAAATATAAAATGTATCATGGTTTCTACAAAAATATTGGGCAGCACAACTGTTTTCAACATTGCTAATAATCAGAAATGTTTTTTGAGCAGCAAATCAGCATATTAGAATGATTTCTGAAGGATCATGTGACACTGAAGACTGGAGTAATGATTTGTTCACAAGAATAAATACATTTTAAAATAGAATTAAATAGAAAACAGCTATTTTAAATTGTAATAATATTTCACGATTTCTACTGTAATAATATAAATAAATAAATGCAGCCTTGGTGAGCAGAAGAGACTTTCAAAAACATTATAAAACCCAAACGGTAGTGTATTTTTAGTCTAGTAATAGAAAAAATGTTTTCCTCTTCATCACACCAAACTTTAAGCAAACTTTATTTGGTACACCGCTTCAAGACTTATTTTAGTAGAACTGATATGCTATAGTAGTTTTTATTTAATATTTTTGAATTACTTTTGTTTTTTTGTATTTTCTGTTTTCATTTAAATTTTAGCTTCATTTTTTGTAATTTTGTTTTGTTTTTGTCATTTTTTTAAAATTAGTAAAAAAAAAAATAAAAAAAATATGTAGGGATGCACCAATATCGGTATCGGGCCTGATACTGCTCTCCTGTACTCGTACTCATTAAAATGCTCCGATACCACACAGCATGTGAACAGTGCTGTGTCCAGACAAAGAAACTCTGACAACAGAACAACAGAGAGCAGAATGGAGTTATTAGAGATTAAGGATGTCTATGAAGTTCATGTAGAGTGGTGTGAAAAAGTTTTTGCCCCCTTCCTGTTTTTTTTGATTTCTTGATTCAACAGGTCTGGCAGTAATCAGGCCTGCGTGTGGCTAGTGAAATTTAACTCAGTTTTCTAAAATGATGTGGTTAATCACAGTTCTTTCATGATTTAAGAGGAGGGTCAATTAATTTTTCACCAACCTCAAATGTGGCTACTGAAACATGTAAGTAGTAGCATTATTACATGGCCGCTCGCTCTAACGTTAACCTAGAAACGTGTGTACTATTGAAGTGTTTGTGCGGAATGTGGAAGCTGAATAGAAGCGCGCTCACTGCATGACAGTTCGCTTGGAGGCACCGGTGCGATCATTTGCATTTAACTTAAAATACTCTGTCATTTTTTGCTCATATAGAGTAATACATCTATCAAATTTGTAAAAGTTTTACTTTTATTTGTGTGCACTCACAATAACAACAAAACGTTGTGATTTTGTAAAATAATGAAAGCAAACAGGGTGCGCTTTCTGCCGTCTAGGTCTCTGTGAACTTCAGCACGTCAAAAAAAAAAAACTCTCTGTGCTTGCCTCACAGACATTTATATATATATATATATATAGAAAGTGAAATGTCTACTTTTAAATGAACCAATTCAAATGGAAAACAAATATTTTTAGATTATGTAATCCATATGAAACTTGCAAATCCACTGTGGAGATGACCAGTCAGTGTCGTCGACTTCATCACTGCCGCCGGAAATACAGAAAACACTAGTTTATCAGTGAATTATTATAATGTTAAGGACGTCTTCTTGATGCATTCATAATCATTACTTCTGCCGGTGTGCTGTGCAAAGTTTTATGCATGCACTTGAGTGCTGATAGGCTATAGGCAATTAAAGGCTCGAACTTGACCATGTCAAAAAAAATAAAAAATTAACCGAAACTCTGTGCTTGCCTCACAGACATGAAAAATATATATATAGAAAGTGAAATGTTTACTTTTAAATGAACTGATTCAAATGGAAAACAAATATTTTCATATAATGTAAGCCATATGAAACATGCACGTCTACTGTGGAGATGATGAGTCAGTGTCGTCGGCTTCATCACTGTAGCCGAAAATACAGAAAACACTAGTTTATCAATGAATTATTATAATGTTAAGGCAGTCTTCTTGCTGTTTTTTCCCTGACGCATTTATAATCATTACTTCTGCGGTGTGCTGTGGCAAGTTTTATGCATGCGCTTGAGCGCTAATAGGCTATTGACTTGTTCGGTGTCGCGTCATAGCTGTGTGGGCTGAGTCGGCGTGGGGGAAAACAGTCATTTCCCCCTCACTGGAAAAGCATGGTGTTGACTCAGAATGGCCTACATAAAATTATTTCTGCCACTCGACAGAGCAACATACGCATAAAAACTGAGCCGTAAAATATGTATATAAAATACCAAAAAACATGGTTATTGGTTACTATAGGTAAACCATGGTAAAAACAACATGTTTTACTACACTAACCTTAGTTTAACCATGGTATTTGTAGTAAAACTGTGGTTATAGGCTACAATTGGTAATAAAAACGCCCAAAAAAACATGGTTAGCCTACTATACTTTTACTATAGTAGGCCTAATACCATTGTTAATTTTCGTAAGGGATTGTGTATAATAATATGAAATAAATGTTTTAATAGATTATGACATCACAAAATATCAGGGAGTGAGATTTGTTTGATTGCGATGCGAAGGATGGTTACTCTAAGCCCCATCAGAACTGGGTTGCGGTGCAGGGGGATGGGAGTAATGACAGATCATTGCAGTGTATCGGTCATATACATCGTCAGATCAGGTTTTTTAACTTATTAGAGGTACAGAATGCCACACAGCAACTTTTCGGCATTTCACCAAGCAAAAATCAATCGAAATCATTACAAAAAGTAAAGATCAAGCGCTTAACAAGGTCTCCGCGCGTTAATTCGAATGGTATGTTTTCCCCCACGGCATAAACGGTTATGACGTTTTTGTGGGCGTTCCCAGCAATGCCGAACAAGTCAATATAGGCAATTAAAGGCTCATTATTATGAATTATATGGTTTATTGGTAACCCTTTACAATAAGGTTAATTAGTTAACATGAACTAAGCATGAACAATACTACTACTGCATTTATTAATCTTAGTTAATGTTCATTTCATCATTTACTAATGTTTTTTAAAATCAAAAGTTGTGCTTGTTAACATTAGTTAATGCACTGTGAATTAACATGAACTAACAATGAACGACTATTTTCGGTTTATTAATAGAAGCGTGCGATTAGTCGACTAATTGCTAAAAATGAACGACTGCTAGTCGACCAGAAAAATCTTTAGTCGAGGACAGCCTTAATTAAGTGTGAAAATAACTGAAAGAAATATCTGTTTGCTAAATGAAGCCAGCTAATATGATTCATATTTTTTTGCTTTCTGTACCCAATATATAAATAAATACAAATGCTATGAAAATACAGGAATCGGTATCGGCAAGTACCAAAAATAAAAGTATCGGTATCTGACTCATTCTGGAAAAAGTGGTATCGGTGCATCCCTAATAATATGTCTATATAGTTATTATACATTTTTATTTCACTTTTAGTTTTTGTTACTTTAGTACTTCAAGTTAAACTAAAATAAAATGAGAAATGATTCCTTGGCAAATAACTGAAATAAAATACATTTAACATTTTTATATTTTATTTCAGTTAACATTTATTTTATTTCAACAATAATATTTATTTTATTAACCAACATATTTTTGTATGGTTTTAGATATTTTAGTTTACTTAACAACAATAACCCTTCTGTTTGTGTTTCTCCATTTGTTCTCGTAGGGTTTCCACGTGAGCAGAAGCACGTGTGGTTTGCCGATGGTATCCTGCCGAACGGTGAGGTCGCCGACACCACCAAACTCTCCGTACAGACCCGGAGATCCTCTCAGGAGTCGAGCCCAGTAACGCCAGACCCGCCGGGGGTGAGACGGCTAAATCCTCTTAACTGATGCTGGAGAGAACTGATAATGACAACTGAAGTCATTCATTGATTCGCTGCCTTTCAGCCCAATGGTAAATTTCCTGGCGAGTGTGATCAGAGCGCCGGAGGAAGTTCTGACAGCGCTGCTGAGGTGAGCCGCCCACACATCAGAGGCCCATGGGACTACGGCCTGCTCTGTGCGGTGGGCAGCTGTGTGCAGGGAGTGGTCAGTCTGGTGCCAGAGGACGACGACGGTCTGCCTCCACTGCTCATTACCACAGGAGAGGAGGAATATGGGGGTGAGGACTTTTAAAAGTCCCATATTGTCAAAACTGAAATTTCCTGGCTTTTTTCACGATAACTGAGGTCTAGGGGCTATTTAACTACCATATAAGTTTCAAAACAGTCAGTCCACAGTAAAATGCACACAGCCTGCATAAAGTAGCTGTGATTTTTCATGAACCTTTGCGAAACTACACAGTCACCGCCTTCAGTCACCACCCCAAGCACCGCCCACAGTCCCACTCTCCTTTTGCCAAACACCCAGACAACATCGCATCCATGCCATTGCTGAGCAACAACAACACGGAAATATGTTGAAAAGGTTAACTTTAACCACGAAACCAGATCGGCCGACCTGTAACGTTACACTCTCACTAAATAAAACTCCAGAAAGGTGTAAAATATGTGACCTTTAAAGGCTTAAACTAGAGGGTAGCTGTCAATTTGACGGCCTCTTCCTGTCTAAATGGTATGACTAGGTGATAAATCGACATCATTGTTAATCAAAAAAACAAATCCACAAAATGGAAAGTAAACTTTTGAGTAATTTACGATATTTAGCCTACATCATTCTATCTAGACAATCAGGTTCTTCTATGCAAAGTTCTTCAAATATTCTTTAAATTCTGCTGTGAAGCAGCTCTAAAAGACAACAGTGCTGTTAGTCAGCTCAAGTCAGTACAGTATTGATTCTATAGTTCAATAGCTGTGTAAAATTGATCAATTATAAAAAAAATCAGCATATTGTGTGAATGAGTGGTGCAGTTTCGCTCTTGGTGTTTCAGCATCTGCTGTCTCACTATATGAGGACATGAACACATGAACTTCATCTCCAGAGCTGCTCTGAGAGTCACTTCACCAGCATTTCACCATTTCTTTTGAGAAAACTATTGTCAGTTACACACAGAAACTCAAGTCTTCGCTACAACCTGCCAAAATAAAAGTTTGGTTTAATTTGAAGAAATTATTACAGAAATATATTACTTTTGTATAGTAAAATGTACTTCTCCTCTCAAATAATAATAATGCAACTTTTTAAAGCATTGCTTTATTATTATAAAGTTATTATTATTATTTATTACTAATAATAAATTATTATTGTTAATAGTATTATTATTATTAAAATTAAGGAATATCATGCAACCAAGAATTTTTTTTTCATCCATATTTTAATTTATACAGTATACAATTTCTGCAGCACTTGTTGAAGTTTTATGAATTCACTTCATTAGACAACTTTTTTGATAATAAATTTGTATTAAATCATAAAACACAGAATCCAGAAAAAATGAAACAGAAAACATAAAATTTGGGGCGGGGGGGGGACGATTAATGAGGCCCTAAATTAAAAGAGAGCTTATTCTGTGGAGTTTACTTGTAAATAAGTTATGTTCAGATTTTGTCTCATGGTCTTGCAAATATGTGGAATGTATTTTCTTGAAATGAAATGAATGTTGTGATAAATCAATATTGAATGAAATGGGGAAAAATATTGTGATAACTTTTTTTTTGGCAATATCTTCCAGCCCCACTAAACAGGTGATTTTTAACCAGAATCATGCTGCTTCAACAATAATTTGGAGATACTGTAATTACTGGATGAGAACATCTGAGAAATTCATGCCCTCTGTTGCAACACTTATGGCAAAATAGGTCCATGTGCTGCTTTGTTGATGACAGCAAAATACTATTTACGTTTAGAAGTCAGGTGATATCCTGATTGCTGCTGCCAACTTGGTAGTTATTTTGTGACTGATTCTTTATGGTGTGTTTTTCTGTAATGTGTAATTTTCTTTTCATTTCGTTACAGATTTATTAGTTGAGGAACGTCCTGCTGCTTGCCAAATATTGCTGCTGTTGGAAGAGGGAGGCCCACAACCACTGACCTTCGTGCTCAATGCCAATTTACTGGTGAACATCAAGATTGTCACATGTATGTTACGTTATCTCAATCTGATTGAAATATCTGAGCATGTCCAGCTTGTTCATATGCTAAACATCATTACTCTCTCTCTCTGTTTGTGTTGTAGATGGTGGGAAGAGGTGCTGGTGTCTGAGCTCTAATGGTCTTCAGGGAGTGGGCCAGAAGGAGCTGGTGTTTATAATTGAGTGTCTCGCAGAGGAGAACAACCTGCCTAGAGACATATTCAACCTGTATGTTAGTATCTACGAGGATGCACAGAAAGGTACGTCACACGAAACACTTCACACTACAGGCAAAAACATTGTGTTTTTATGCACTGGTCAGTTTTGAGATTTCGGGCTTTTCATGATGTGTTGTTTAAGTCTAGTGGAAAGAAAACATCCAAAATAACTTCTAAGTGTTTATTTTATCTTTTTGTGTCTGTACATTTTAATTATAATACATTATCTTTAAAGGCCGTTTTCTCAAAATAGCTATTTGCTCCACTTCAGCAGCACTTGCATACACCAAACTTTACAGTTTTTATACAACATTTTATTGCTAAATCCATGGGGATTTTTTTTTTTTTTTCTAGAATAATAGTAAATGTACTTCTCAAAGTAAAAATAATATTAATAATAACAATAATACAACTTATTATAATATTATTTTGAATTATTATTATTAGTAGTAGTAGTAGTAATATCATTATTATTATTATTTAATTAAAGTACCACCTCCTTCCATTCATGATATGTTGTTTATTTTTACAGTGTATCCCTGGCCTTTGTTGAGCGTGCGTTTCCGTGACTCCGTTTTCAAAGAGGCGGGCCACACCATCATGAATCTGCTCACAGTACGTGTTCACATTTAACCCTAAAATATTTTACTTATTCATATAAATGTGCAATGTATTGTTTAGAGATGTACACTGCTGTTCAAAAGTTTGGGGTCGGTAAGATTTTGTAATATTGAATAATTGTAAAATATTACAATGATGCAAAATGCATCACATTTTGATACAGTGATGTAAATCTAAATTTTCAGCATCATTACTCCAGTCTTCAGTGTCACATGATCCTTCAGAAATCATTCTAATATGCTGATTTGCTGCTCAAAAAACATTTCTGATTATTATCAATGTTGAAAACAGTTGTGCTGCTTCATATTTTTGCATCCTTGCAAAATAAAAGCATTAATTTTTCTTTAAAAACAAAAACAAAACAAAAAACCTCCGAACTTTTAAACTTTTGAAAAGATGCTGTTTATTTCTGCTTATGGCTTAATGGTTCTCAAAGATGAAAGATGTGCAACTAAGGTCAAGATCATAATCCAGACTATTTGGTGCTAACCTTATATACAATATCAAAATTTTAGGTTTATTGTGGTTTCAGATAAATTTTATAATATGTGATTTGCCCTGAAAGATTTTAAATGAATTCCAAAGGCAAGAATCAAAGATGGTAGTTTGGTTAAGCTGTTTTTTCACCTTTCTAACCAGAGTCTCGGGTTCAGCTCAGGACAGATAATGAAGGAGATTAGAGAGCACTCAAGACTAAAACCCAGTGTGTACTTCAGCTCTGAGCCACTCTTGATTTCTGAGAATTAAAGAGCTTCTTTGGTCTCTAACGATTGTGCTTGCAAGTACACTTATGGCCAATTTTCTGGATGCAGGCATGGAAAAATGTGGTACATCTCTGCAAATTAAGTTTATTTTGCATCTAAATTGGTTTATTCTACTTTGCAGATGCATTTTAGTATGAAGGTAAACGTAAACATGTTATCAAGTTTTAACTTTTGGCCTTGTAACCTCAAATCCTTTGTTTATTTATGGCTTAAAATTTTTTTTTTTCAAGCCGTGGAACCAACATTCAAAATACATTTAAGTATATTCAGAATACTCAATGCAAAACATTCAATGCACAAACTAATAAAGTAGTATCAATATTATTATTATTAAGGAATATCTTACAACCCAGATATATTTCATCCACGTTTTAATTAATACAGTATACAATTTCTGTACTGCAGCACTTTTTGACAAAAAATAGAAATAAAAGTGTGGTTTTGTTGGAAATGATATTGTTATATTTATTGTATATATTGTATATTTATATATATTGTGTGTGTGTGTGTATATATATATATATATATATATATATATATATATATATATATATACATAAAAAATGTGGTACATCTCTGCAAATTAAGTTTATTTTGCATCTAAATTGGTTTATTCTACTTTGCAGATGCATTTTAGTATGAAGGTAAACGTAAACATGTTATCAAGTTTTAACTTTTGGCCTTGTAACCTCAAATCCTTTGTTTATTTATGGCTTAAAATTTTTTTTTTTCAAGCCGTGGAACCAACATTCAAAATACATTTAAGTATATTCAGAATACTCAATGCAAAACATTCAATGCACAAACTAATAAAGTGAAAAATAACCAAGGCATGTTTTCCCTCTGATTTGATTGATTTAACAAAAAGGCTTTTAACAATTTTTTATTTATATGCACCAAAATAACATTACATAATACACATAACACATACATTAAGGGAATAGTTCACCTACAAATGGCAATTTGCTGAAAATCTGCTCACCCTCAGCCCATCCAAGATATAGATGAGTTTGTTTCTTCATCAGATTTGGAGAAATGTAGCATTCCATCACTTGCTCACCAATGGATGCTCTGCAGTGAATGGGTGCCGTCAGAATGAGAGTCCAAACAGCTGATAAAAACATCACAATAATCCACAAGTAATCCACACCACTCCAGTCCATCAATTAATGTCTTGTGAAGAGAAAAGCTGCGTGTTTGTAAGAAACAAAAACAAATTTCACTGGAGGAAATGTTATTATGGATTATGGTCTAAGATTTTCCGGAAGCGATGGTTTGAAGTTAAAACTATCTTAATGATGGATTTATATATATATATATATATATATATATATATATAAATATACATAGACATATTTTTGTATTGACTAAATTGTTAAAGTTTCGTGAATTGGCTTAAACAACATTTTTGATAATAAAAATCCAAAATCCCCTCGGAAACAACCTGTTCTGAAATTTCAGTTTCTAGAAATGTATGCAAATTAGTGTCTATTTCATTAGTTAATGCATCATTTGCATATTTAAACATACCATACCAAAACAGTCCTAATGTACTGTAATCAGTCAACTGGAGATGTATGGTGATATCTGTTAGTTAAATTGTTACACCGTTCCCCTGTAGTGTCTTGCCTTAAAGGGGAAATAAAAACAGTCGTAATTTACTTTTTCATGATTACATTCAACCCCCTTAGAAGTAAACAGTTTTTTTTTTACTACTGCACTGATAAATTAGTGACAAAATAGATTTATACCAGCAAAAACATTTAGTTTTTTTTTGTTGCATGATATTTGATCTGTTTTACAAAAACCCAAACTATTCATGATGTAAATGAGGGATTTTTATGTGGCTCATATGGTAGTTTTCTTATTTTTCCCCACCAAAGGGAAGTTCATCGAGCACCTTGGCAACGTGACGTTCACTGACAGTTTCCTGGGCAGTAAAGATCACGGGGGCATCCTGTTCTTCACTCCAACCTTTCAGCCACTGGATGGTCTTGCTCTGCCGCAGGTCTCGTTCCTCTGTGGTGTTTTGATTCAGAAACTAGAGGTTCCCTGGGCTAAAGTGTTTCCCCTCCGACTGCTAACAAATTTCACTGGAGGAAATGTTATTATGGATTATGGTCTAAGATTTTCCGGAAGCGATGGTTTGAAGTTAAAACTATCTTAATGATGGATTTGTTTCTTACAAACATGCCTCTTTTGGTTTCAGAAGATGCTAATTGATGGACTGGAGTGGTGTGGGTTACTTGTGGATTATTTTGATGTTTTTATCAGCTGTTTGGACTCTCATTCTGATGGCACCCATTCACTGCAGAGCAGAGGTTCCCTGGGCTAAAGTGTTTCCCCTCCGACTGCTGCTCGCTCTGGGGGCACAATACAGCGGTGAGCCCTCATTAAAACATCCTTTAGTATAATAGAGAAGAAAATGTTATTATAATATTGCTATTAAAATATATAATGTTATATATATATATA